ACTTTTTTGCATTAAGTACATGCTTTAGGCTTCTTACATGCATTAAGTTCTAAGAAAATTATTGGACTAAATGTGAATATCAGAAAAAGTGCAAAACAAAAAAAACTCATAAATCACTTAAAATCAAATGTCTATATACTATTTCGTATAATCTATTAACATATCAGTATAATTAAATACAGTAAATTCAAGAATGTTTGAGTGAAAAAAACTTGATTCTTATCATCCTTCCAAAATGATACAGTAAACTTCATTTTTCAGGAGGATTAAATCAGGGTTTTATAAAGGATTTGTAACATTCAAAACTATTTGTAATTTCAGTAACAAATAATATTTTAAATATATATATATATATATATTATTAAATAAAAGGTAACTTCTAAGGTAATAAATTTACACAGAACAAACAATTATCTCATGCACCTTACAAAGAAAGGTCCACCTTTCAAAAGAGCTCAGGTTATGGGTTCTGTATTTAGGACTTTTATTTATTTTTTAAACCTACATGTTTTTCTAACATCATGAATGCATTCAATACATTATAACATATTTCATATCTCTCTTTACAAGTGGAAGATGGTTGAAATATTTGTATTAGTATTGTATTAAGACTATCAAAGAATGCTCAATCCTCAGTCAGAATGAAGCACGCTTACAGACTAGGCTCAACTTACTTAGTTTCCAGTTGCATGTATCGTGCTTGATAGCATAGTTTCATCACTAAAAATACTATTATCTTTTGTCCCACTATATTACAGATTACAAGAGTAAACTAGCAACTTTATTCTAATTATTTAACCTTTCTTGAATTTCAAGATAAATCAATGTTTTTTTCCAATATTGCCACAAATTCATTAAAAGTATGTTTTTCTTTCAGACTATCTGCTACTGTTGCATATTTTTGGAAGACTGACTTTTTGTTGGTGTCATCTGTAGGTTGAGGTTCTAACTAGGGTTCTCTCTTTAACCTATTCACATGCACACTTTTTTGCTAAAATATTTACCACTGCAATTTTCCTGAGAGACGCTTTGCTTTAGCCAAAAACCACCTCACACAAAACTCTTATTAATCACTAATATATATTTTTAACAAGCTTGCATAGTAACTAACAATCTAATTTAAGTTAATCATACTTTGTACAAACTAGTTTTCATTCAGAAAGAACAAGCAAATGAGAAAATGCAAGTTTTGGTAAAGCACTATAATAATGTAAAAGCTCAGAATCAACTTGAAGGATATTGATCAAAAACCAATATCAATAATTATGATGATAGTTGTGTGACATTATGAAGAATGTGATTTATAAGTAGATTGTATAGTAACTATGAAAACAAATATATGCAAATACTAAGAATATTAGCTATTAAAAAGGGGTATCTAAAGAGCACTTAGCCATTTACTTATTATAAAATTATTTTTAAAGTATGGACATTGTAAACAGTTACCAAACAAATTGCTTCAAAATAATTGGCAAATAATGTATTAAATATTATAAACCTGTAACAATGCTTATAAAATTATCATTGTCAAATCACTTATGAAAAAAGATGGTGATACAATAACCAGTTACAATGTTGCATACTATGGACAGAATTAATCATCAATAAGGCTGCTAGCTTCTGAAGTATCTCCACGTTTTTTGATTAGATGGTGCCAAATCCACTGTGTCAGCATCACTAGCAATGGAATGGCACATAAAATGCACAAAGTTGACAATATGTATGCTATAACCAGAAGTGATGACCCAGATTCTTCCTCATAACTGTGAGCACAATCTTTTGGATCTAACAGAAGTCACAAGGTAGAAATTATTATTACAAAGGTAATGTATTCAAATAGTTTCATTAATATGCTCTAAACATATTGGATTTTAAATGTCAGATTAATAAAAATAGAAACCTGATTAGATTTAACAATGACTTGAATATGAAGCTTGTTTGAGAGATGTAATAGTAATTATTCTGACATTTTTTTATGAATCAAAGAAAAGAAACCTCACATAAACATCATAGTCCTAAAAAGCCAATAAGTGAAAGGAGACTCCAGTTAGACTTTTATAATTTGGCGGGATGGTGGTAAATCAACCACTAATTACTTGACCAACACAATATAGCATGTACTTTATTACTCGTAGTATAAAAGCTTTATGGGTGAAGAGAGATGGAAATGGTTTGTACTCTTAGAAAGCTCAGTGACAGAGCAATGGCCCTATTAGACACAGGTCCTGGGTTCAAGTCCCAGTTCCTCTTTTTTTACTTATCAATTCGCAGTTCTACGACATATAGGTGTTCCTGACCATTTTTACATGAAGGATCATAATCATATAGCTTCAAAATGCATTTGTGAGAGAGACAAACAGTAAATATACAAAAGAACTATTTTCTTTGAGAAGATTATCACTCCTTTAAGATTCCAATGGCAATTAACACACCTTTAGGCATATTCATGGTTCTAATGACTGCTGCAGTTGTATGTGTACAGGTAGAGTTGGCAAAGCCTATTCTTTTATTTTCTCGATCATATATTACATAGAAACCTTCCAAAATTACAGCACCAATGATTGTACCTGTGGAAAAGAAACTCAGTTATTACAGACTGCATATTCATCTTATTTCTTTGGGAAAGTATTAAAAGTAACATAATTCATAGCAGTATTTCCTTGGTTGTGAAAAGCTTATAACAACACTAACCATTAATTCTGAAAATATACATATTCCAATAAGATGTGCCAAACTTACAGTTTTGAAAATGTTTGAAAATTTAAAATGTTGCTGCTGTTTTAATAGTAGATACATATAATTTTCTATGATGTGTATAATATATTTTATTAAAAACAAAACAACTGTATGAGTATCCAAAGAAAATTTATTAATGGAAACGCATATCTTTTATCTTCTTTTCAATTCTGGTTTATTATTTGAAATTAAAGAAACATGTCTTGTATCACAAGTTCTTTTTATTATGAATTACATTCACTAAAGTAGTCACAAAACAGCCATGATGAAAATAAAGTTTTTCTCTGGCTTTCATCTGCTTCTAGATGTTTTGAACTACAGAAAGGTTTAGTTTCACTAACAACTTACTGTACTAATAATTTAAATAAGTACTTCTAAAAACAACAAAAAACAAGCAAGCCAAAAGACATAAATCGGCTATTTTAAGCCGAATTGGCAATTGACAAAACAGTTAAAAGAAGTAACTGAGCTAATCTGATAAAGAGGTATATCTTCGTACTGAAGGGTGTTAACATATAACAAGTGCATTAGAAGTGGTTACAATTTTTTTTATTTTATTTTGTTTTTAGCTCAAATCTATGACAAGTTCTACTTATGTTGCCTAAAAGATACTGGTAAGATATGCAGAACAGAACATAAATACATGAATAATTTAAAGACATAACACTGCTCACCAACTTTTGACGAAGCGATCCCCAGTTTGTAACAGTCGTTATCAGGTACAATTTGAGGTGTCTTCCAAAGAAATAGCTGATGACATGAAATATATATAAATATGCATAAAATGATATTTTTACAATATTTCATAATACATAGAAAACATTATTGCTAAAAACTAAAATATACAATAACAACTTGCATGTTTTATGAATAAGCATTATTTCTATTATATTCGTTATATTACTTGTTAGCCAAGTAAACTGAACTAGCATGATGTAAATTCTATTGATCACTTGAATTTTTTGCAAGTTTGTGATAATTTAGTTTCTATGTGATTACTTCAACTTCTTGTAAGAAACTAAAACAAACAAGGATGAGACATATACTATATAATTTGAAGTGGCATATATAAGATCTTCAGTTAATCTCAGCCCAGTAAGTTTTACTTCAAAGACGAACATAGTTTACAAACATCATAACATAAACTGAAGTTCACAGCTATAAGTGACCTTCTCTAAGGCTGCTGACAAGACCTTTAGTTTCCTGAAATCAAATCCTGGACATGGTGATTTCATTAACAAACAGAGCTTCACATCTCTTTTGCACCAAACTTTATAAATTTGATAATAAACAAGCTAAAAATATATATATTTTTATTAACTAATTATATTTTGTGTAGGGTTTGTGGGTTTACAGTTTATACATCTCGTACTGTAACCTGTATGCTGCATCCTACAAACAGGGGGTTTACATGCAGTAATTCTACCTTTATGGTTCACTAGTACTTGAGTTGTTTGGAGTAAACTCTGAATGAAGCTGCTTTCCAACAGAAATATTACAATGTTCCTAGATTATTTACTATTTATACTATTTCCTTTTGTACCTAATATTATTTTCATATTTATTATCTCAATTATGTTGACATATTTCCTGTTTTAATTACCTTTAAATTTAATTGTGTATTTTGTCCTATATATATACATACCTTTTAATAACAACTGCCTGCTTCTATTTTGTGATGCCGTCCTTAACTGGCCTTAGGCTGAAAAGTTGTTTAGACCAAATGCAATAGAACACTAGAGGGTTTAGTAGTACATAAGGACCACTTAGCTCTAATTAATGCAGAAACTGTTTGACCCTGGCACTTCACAAAACATCAATTGAAACTAACACTTTTGCTTGAACAATCTCAAAATTTGCGTTCGAAAACAAGATTTTTCCAGTAAAGGAGCTGCATGTATGATATTTAACACAAACAAATAAAATTCAGTGTTTGTCCTTTTCTTCATTAGGAGTTGCTGCACAGTCAATGACATTATGATTGTGTACTATTGAACATATCTATTCCAATGCAAAATTTAACTTAAACAATAAAAAGTAAATATTTATGGTCCAATATATATATATAAACTCTGAAGTTAAGATTTTCCTTACCTGAAAATGTATTTCTGTTACATACTCACTTCCACACACACAATAGCTTCATTCCTTGAGTGGCTGCCTATGAGACTAGCATGCCAATAGCTTTGAGTTAACTCACACCTAAAAATCATGTGTTTAATGTGAACTGCACTAGTGCATGATGAACATCATCCTACAACTATAGTTTTTCACCAATGCGATGGTAACACAAGCTCCATGTACTGAGAATATCTTCATTCTTAGGCAAGGCAAGGAAGGGGAGATGGAAAGGTGAGAAGAGCTGAGTATCTATTGGATATACATTCTCATGTAAAGAAAATGTTAACTTTTAAGACTATACCTCACTTATTCACACAGAATAGCTAGATTCCCACACTGACGTGGTGGAGGGGCCAGTACAACATTTAAATCTAGATGAGTTCCATCAGAAAGTGCCCAAAGGGAAAGCCCTTGGAGTGCGACACCTAATGGCAGAGAGAATGCATCTCATCTTGACCAGGATCTACTCTTCACACAGAAGAAATCAGAGGGAAAGACAAAAGAGCCCCAAGTGTTGCCGGGATGAGTAGAATGAGATCATGACCAACTGAGCACCTGCACACAAGTGGTTGGTGTGCCAAGAAGTGTAGTGTAGTTAGGGTGTGATCAGATCACACAGTGCGTGCTCACCTTGACTCAACTGGACAGACTCTCACTGCTGGAGGAGGGCACACTAGCTGTTTGAGGGGTGATCCACACTGCACAGACAGTGTCACCACCACCATACTTCGCACCAGTGCTGGTGAGGAACTCTCCAAGGTACACCACCTCAAACAGCTAGGAACTGGTAAGTGGCAAGGGTCTCCTATGCTCCACTTGACGATGACAAAGATATAGGAAGACTGACATGTGCAGGTTCATCCACACACCAGACTGAAGGATCATGTCCAATGGTCAGTGAAAATAAGATGCAAGAGAATGAGACAGTTTAAGAATCTCATGTGACAAAGTGTGAAAGAACAATCACCCACCTGAACAGCCAAAGTGTGAGGAAGAAAGGTGTGGTCTGGATAGAGGAGAAAGTAAGTAAGGTGAAAGGGAGTGCAGGAAGCAGTGATGGCATATACATCTGAACAATGGTGACCACAAACAAGGAGGATAAGCAGATGTTTTCAAAAAAAGATGGAATAATGAGCATGAAGTCAACAGCTTGAACAGAACCAATGGAAAAGTGTGTAAAACCACATCAAAGCCCTAGTTAATCATGGGAGTAGGAACTGGAACAACCTGTCAGATGAAATAGGAGTCCAAAGGCCAGCGAGGAAGGCCAGATGGAAACCCACAGGGTTAGACCTGACATGGTAGTCATGAACAAAGAAAGTGATGACCCTAACAATGATCAGTGGGAGAATTGGAAGAAGGCCAGGAAACTGAGATAGGAAGGTGGGCCACAGATTTAGTAAGCCAGGAACAGAAGTAGAGAAAGCTGAGAAACTGTAGTAGACAATGAGGACTGATGCTGGACTATAACAGTCTGGGTCCTCAGTGAGTCAGGAATACCATGGAAAACCTCTGGACAAAGAAATAGAGCCTGACAAAAATCATGGATATAAGCATGATAGAGACATACTTTATTTAGCAGAGCATCCTGTCCCAACAGCAGAGGAACAATGTAAGGAGAGACAGAGCAGAAATAGCAGTGTGGGTCGATGTAATGAAAAAGAGAGAACAAACTCCTTCAGATAAACCTCTCATGAAACAACATGAAGTTCTTCAGACACAAAGGGAAAGAGATGAAGAGACAACACATGAGGGCAGTAAAATAAAAAGGGTGAGAGACAAAAGTGTGAAAATTGAGTATGAGAAAGGAAAACAGAAATTAAGGGTCCACCCTCTGAAGCAGGTAAAAAGAGATTCCAAAGACTGAGAATTGAGGAAGTGGAGAACAGCGGAAAACCAGAACAAAATAACCAAGTAGACTAAAAGGATGAAACACATTAGAACAAGTGTCCAGTTGAATGAGAAATGATCCTGCATAGACCCTAATGTAAGGTGAAGAAGGGAAAACAAAGTAGTCTGGAGAAGAGGTCCACATAGGAAAACACAGGAGGAAGCAGAAGACAAATGGAAAAGAGAAAGAAAAGAACATACCTGCAAAGTCATGTCAAGAAAGAGATTTCAAGAGTGAGGATTTTCTACCACAGATAAAGTTATGCCTGGAGCAAGTCCTGGTGTGGGATATAACTAGTAAGATTATCGTCATCCTGATTATGTTCAACCTGAGTAGAAGGAATATCAACAAAACAGTAGGAGGAGGCCTAGTGTGCATGAAGGAACCTTCAACACATTGAACAATGGCTGGCACGTCCACCAAAGACACCAAGACCCCAGTAGTCACTATAAACATCAGTCCCAAGCTAGGAACAGTCACCAAACCCAGAATGAAGCAGAAATTACCATCACTTAAGAATTCAAAATGAGTAGGCAGGAAAAATACAATTTTTTCCATTTGTATATTTCTGTATTCATAGAAGAAACCAGTTAAATTTGAAGTTCTGTAAACTATTGCAAATCTCATGCAATTAATATGTTTAAAAACATGTCTGTTCTAGAAAATACTGATGAAAAGAATGAAGTTATTTTTAGTGCAAGTGTTTAAAAAGATTACTGCACAAAAAGGATGACAATCATTGCATGATGATCTCATCATGAACTAATGCAGTTAACAATAAACATGTGATTTTTAGATGAGAAATAGCTCAGGCTAGAAGAATGCAAATCTCGTAAAAAGACACAAGAACAATGATGCTTTCTGTGTGAGGCAGTGAGGTATTGTCTCAAAACTAGATATCCCACATCTAATATCTTTTAAGCCACATACAGTAAGAACTACAGAAATATCTTAGGTAGAAAGAGAGAGAATGCATATATAGGCATACACTGTTTCAATACATACTGTGAATGTCACTATAAATTACTCTCTTGGGTACTACTTCTGCATGGTACAGTATACTGACAAATAAATAAGCAATATATAGTGTATGTATATTTATATATTTGGTTTAGTCACACTTGTTTGTGTGTGTTTATCTATATATATATATTGATGTTGATAATTATATATAGTTGAGTAATATACAATTACAATACATGGAGAACTGTAAGATTTCAAAATTAATTAAATCACAAGTGGGATTTACAAGTATTTATAAATGCTTAATATTCCTTTATATACATCACAATATAAAACATTCAAGTAAATCCACCATCAAAAAGTGGTTAAAAAAACTCAAAATGTTATAGTTTGCATGATTCATTTTTCACAAAATCTTGAAAAAAGTACTTTATCACAGTTCATCAGAATGTCTTAACTAAAGATTAAAAAAAATCAAATACCGAGGGAATGCCTCTAATGAGAAAAATAACTTTCAGGTAAATTTAAACAAAATCAGAAACTTACTACACAGTGGACAAATAATAATGGCCAGAATACAAACTATCATTTGAGAAGTATAGCACTAACTGTAACTTGAGCTATTTCTACACAATGTATTTCTCACATTGTAGCAGATGCCATGATTTTATCTATTTGTCTCATACATGCATTGCGCTTGTATTTGCTTGTTTTTTCTCTTCCATCTGTGTACATGATTTAAACACCATTTTATATTCAAAAGGAACAGTGTCAAATTATGATTATCTAATTTTTTGTTCAGCATTAAAGAAAACTTATCACAAACATGTTCCTAGACCAAATAAAGTTATTACCTCTGGTGGAATGACCAAGGACACTGAGCTGTTAAATGTCTCTCCAAAGACCATTTCTATTTGGTGGAAGTATTCACTCACAGATCTTCCTTTTTGTATGCAAACATCTTCTTGTCCTTTCCAGAATCTTTCATTCAGCTGATTTTTTAACTAGTGAAGTTTTTCAAAAGGATATTTGTAATCAACAGATAAAAAGATTTGAAGTTTTACTCTTAAAACCTTTTTGTATTATTATTTATCTGATGGTATTCAAGTCTTAAGTAAACAACTACTTGGAAATGTTACACGATTACAATTTTTCAGTAATAACATAAAAAGATATTAATATGCATAAAACAAGAAAATTAGGAGTTGCATATAATTTACTAAAAACTTTTCAGCTCTTGTTTCTTTATTGATTAACTTTGTTATTTATTATTTTAATTTATTTTAGGAGAAGAATCATAATAAAAAAATTGCTACAAAGTAACCAGATTATTTTGGAGATAAATTAATTTCCTTTAAAAAATATAAGTTATGAAAAAAAAATCAAAATAATATTAGATCTATTTATGCAAAGAAACACAAACACTTACACTAATAACATATTCAATACTTTCCTTCAAAGGACTGTCAATTTTATTAGTCCCTTAAAGTTTGAAACAACAAATAAATATTTTAGCTACTAAGTTGTGAAAAACATGTGAATAAAGACTAGAAAGGCAAATGCAATTTTACAGGATATTTATAAACCTCCCACATATTGTGTTTTTTTCTTATAACTTCTGAACTAAAATGATGGCATAATTAGATAATGCATATAAAAACACATATATTCCAGTGTCTTTATTAGTTTTCAATGCAAATTGGAAATAATGTTCAACTTCACTTACAAATGGGAACCCTACACAGCGAAAAAGTCTATTAATCACACATGTACAATTAGAGCCCTCTTTTTGAAAACACCAACACTTTAGAAAAATATAATTGTGTAATTATTATTTTTTAACAAAAATATATGTTCCAAAAATACTAATTTAATTGTAAAAAATAGAGTTAAGGAAACATTTCAAATTGACCGAATTACTTTAAAAACATATTTCTTAATTTTTTTAATAATGATGTTTTAAATTCAATGTTTTCATTTTTTTTATGACAAATTTCTTAGATAGTATCAACAAATATTTTACTGATTAAAATATAGAAATACCCAACAGAATGATGTAGCAAAAATTACAAAGTTAACAATCAGTTCACAATTCAGAAAAATTAGAATTTTATTATTCACATTTAAAGACCCATCACAATAAAAGTAAAAATCAGAGAAGAATAATTTATTGTCTTGTTTGTAGCTTATACTTTTAAGAGTCATTGTTAAAAATTTCAGATATGTATGTTTAATAAAAGTAAAGCAATGTTGGAAATACTTTGCTCAAGTATAGGGTTAGAAACATTTCTAGACATTAAAAATCTGTGTATAGTATCTACAGCCAAGAGTTTACAAAAAAGAGAAGCACCTACAGTAAATTAAATCAACATTGGCACTGACAGTTTAAAAAAAAGAACTGAATCAATGCATTTTAATATCAGTACATTTATTAGGAATGAAGTGATACTGACTATGCAACAGTCACAAGAAAGACTGGCAAGTGTGTCAAACTACACTGACTGTCACAAGAAAGGTCGGTAGCTGAGTCAAACTATACTGATTGTGATGGCTGTCACCAGAAAGGTTGGTAGCTGAGTCAAACTATACTGATTGTGATGGCTGTCACCAGAAAGGTTGGTAGCTGAGTCAAACTATACTGATTGTGATGGCTGTCACCAGAAAGGTTGGTAGCTGTGTCAAATTATATTGATTGAAATGACTGTCACCAGAAAGGTTGGTAGCTGTGTCAAACCATACTGATTGTGATGGCTGTCACAAGAAAGATTGGTAGCTGTGTCAAACTATACTGATTGTGATGGCTGTCACAAGAAAGGTTGGAAGCTGTGTCAAACTATACTGATTGTGATAGCTGCCACCAAAAAGGTCGGTAGCTGTGTCAAACCATACCGATTGTGATGGCTGTCACAAGAAAGGTTGGTAGTTGTGTCAAACCATACCGATTGTGATGGCTGTCACAAGAAAGGTCGGTAGCTGTGTCAAACTATACTGATTGTGATGGCTGCCACCAGAAAGATTGGTAGATGTATCAAACTATACTGATTGTGATGGCTGCCACCAGAAAGA